CTGCAATGCGCTGTCCAATCCCGAGCAACCACAACAGTATTGCCGCCACGGCGCATGGTGGCAGGCTCCACGTCAAAGGGTGTCGCCATAGCATGTGGCGGCAGGGCCCATCTCTTCCGTTTTCCGATAACCATCAGCTTTGGTAGCCATTCTGCTCAACTTGCTGCCACGGGCTACGACGGCAGGCCCTGCCTCCTCCAGTTGGGGCGGCAGGTGTCATGTGTCGGCTGTCGGGCCTAATGCCATGGTAGTTTCGTCAATTACGTTTAGGGGTGGACCTTTTTGTCAATATGGTCACAGGTGGTCCAGTATGCAAGGAGTTCTTAATAAGACAAGTAGATGAGAATTTTATGCCTACAATGATTAGCTATTTTTTATCGCTAATGTCCCAAAAGTTAGAACATACCCAACTAATATTTGAATTAATTCGTAGTCTTTTTTTAGCAACGAGACAAACATATGATCCTTTATTTGATCACCTATCTCCCATGATGAGATATACATGTACCATACGTTGCTTTCCATCCGAGTGCTAGTTAGTTCTTCTTTGGGAATTAATAGTGCTAGTTATTTAATTTATTACAGTATGGACATGGAAAATAATGAGTTGAGCTGGCTCACCAAAATTTGAAATGACCGCTAAAGAACTGCGCAAAAGCATCACATATATGAATGAGAAGGCCTCTATGTGGAAAATCATTTATTTACGAATATCTTCTAGAAAATAATATGTCCTGGAACGTTTTCAATGTAGATAAAGGCTCTCGACCAACCACAATGTATAGTAGTACACACCAATCAATTTTTGGATCTTTGCGATTGATGGAGAAAGCTCGCTCTTTGTTCCAAGTGTTTCACTAGTCTTGTCTCCTATAAAAACTTGTGCCTTGTTAGCAGAAACAAGCTAGAGAAATGGAGGAAGGTAGTGCAGGCTAGCTAGCAAGTAGTAGCAACGTACATGCATATGTATGCGCATTTAGAAATGTAGTGAACTTCAGAATAGGAGATATCAGGATGCCAAAGCGTGGCCAAATGGGAATATCAAGTAAGGCGTGGTGGTGCTCTGGCGTGCCACCGCTCACCCATGGCCATGATAGGCATCTAGCATTTTGCGGTCTAGCCGCCCTCAACTTGTTTGACGAACGGATCTACAAAGACGCGAAGCCATCCTGTATTTGGGAACAAAATTTCTACCCATCTTTAGCCTGGTTGTAACTTTCGGAATTCAACATTGGATCCGCGCTCCTGTTTGGCCAGTTCAACTTTGAGCACGAGCTGCATTTTGAGTTAGCAAGGTATCTAGCACATGTAAACCATTGTGTCATGCACTCAGAAGCAATTATGTCTTCTACAATGATCACAAAGAGCAAGTTTCACGGAGCGGTTTTGTGTCTTTACGACAGTCACCGCTGACCATCGTCGGCTTCTTCATTCATACATGCTGCAAGGTAAGCCATGTCGGAGCGAGCGGAGGAGGCTGATTGCCACGAGGAAAGGGAGGAGGAGCAAAGCAATCTGCGTGGTACAGGTGGAGATGGAGATCTAGTTGCTCCAGCGCGCTGGCTGTACCCGGTGTCTCTCTTCTCTGAACGATTCCTTGTCAACCCTTCCATATTTACCTGACAAGGAAAACAGAACACCATGACATACAGTTTTGCGTCTAAAAAGAAGATGAAAGAAGGGGAGTGAAAAGAACAGACCGGCCGGTGATCCTTCTAGTGCGACTTCAGAGAATTAAACTACAAGAAAACACTACTGAAGGAGCTCTCGGCTGACATGAAAGGGTTAAAAAGAAAAGAACACACATATAAAAAAAGATGGCTTCGCCCGGGTTCGAACCGGAGACCTTCAGTGTGTTAGACTGACGTGATAACCAACTACACCACGAAACCTTTTCTTTCCAAATTTTGATTTAGTATCCTTTTGTTCGGAGCGTTCACGCTGGAGCTTCCCCACCGCAAGCTATCATGCACTTATCCGCGTGGTTTGTTGAGGAAGTTGTACTAGGGACGATGACATCTGCTTGGCACAAATGATGGCGTCAAGATGAGTTTAGGCCGTGGCTCGAACTCTGGTAGTTGACTCTTTTCGGTGGGTCCGATGAGTTCTTCTGTGGTTCACTGGGTTGTTGTGGAGTCGGAGCTGCGGTGGAATGAGTCCAGCTGGTGATGATGGTGGGCACTTGATGGTCGCTTACGGTGGGCCCAGTTGGTGTAAGCCCTGCATATTTCCCTTGCGATGGTTGTAGACAAAGTCGAAGTTGTCGGTCGCTAGCGTGTGTGGCCAGTTGTTGGCATGGGCCATCATGGCCTGTGTACAACTATTTGTGGGTTGGGTTTGTTGGTGGGGCTCTACTATAAAGTCTGGGTCGTTTGTTCGGAGGCAAACAATGATGATGATGTGCTTGCGACCTCTTCGATGGTTGCCTTTTTTTGCTACTCTGCACGTCAAGTGACCAGTTGGTCGATGTTGGGCATTGTGTGTGGGTTGAATTGTGTTGGTTTTAGCCCAATTTTGTCCTAATTAACCTAATAATTCTTGTTTATTTATTGATTAATAATGAAAATGGCAAAATAAATACCCTGCCCGCCCTTGACCCCCGCGTCGCCCGAGTCGGGCGACTCAGAGGAAACTCTAGACGCCGGTGGCCGGCACCCATCCTCCACCTGCCCCCGCGTCACTGCCGCCAGAGGGCTGGCCGACGGAACCACGCCGGGCCTTGGGATGGTGCGGCGGGGCTGTCTTTCCTCCCCCCACCCCCACCCCCCGCCAGATCTGTTTGGCAGCGGCGGAGGCTGCCTCTCCCGGCTTCCCCTGCTCGCTGGCGGGGTGGGTGCTTGCCTCGGCCGAACTTCCCCCGTGGTGGCTCACTGTCTGCCCCGGACGCGATTTGGACGCCCTTTCTAGCTGATTGTAGTGCTCCGGCCGGCAGCCATGGCGGCCGGTTGAGCCCTGCTAGCTGCGGCTCCACCCATCTGCTCGAGCTTTAGGACCGCCTCTTCGCGAGGCGGCATGCAGGCTGTTGGATGCGGTTGTTCCCGTCGGTGGTTGCCTTTTGGATTGGTTGGGAGTTTGGCTGCGTGTGAGACCACTTCGACGACGACGACGACCACTACCACCCCCAGGGGCGGCTTCAGCCCGGTGGGCATGGACCTGTGTTCACGACCGGTCGGTGCGGCTTCGGACTGGACGAGCCTCGGGAGATGCGCTCTTTTACGGCTTGTTGGCTCCTTTGACTCTTTGGCTCCTCGGCGTCTCTGCACCACCACCACCTAGCGGGTGCCTTGGTTAACCATCCATCCCAGTGCATCTACGTCTCTGGCATGTTCTGGAGCTGAATCCCCTTCCAGCTCCTTTAGTCCGTCTGCACTCATGCTGCCCTGGTCCCCGTGGCCCGGATCTGTGCCTCCTTCTAGATCTTGTCTTGTCCAAGGCTACGGTCACCGTCCCATCCCCGCCGCCTCTCATTCCGTGCAGCCACACATCCTTCCCCTCCTCCAGAGTTCTCATGTCCGGCGATGCCCGGTTCCTCCTTCAACGTCGTGCGTGGTTCCCCTTCCCGCAGTCGCAGCTTCGGCCTATGCCCGACGACCTCCTCTTCGACAGTGTTCCAACGGCTTGAAATTGGCCTGGGCTAAACCCTACATCTTATGCTAGCAGCAGCGACACCTGCGGGTGCTGTCCGCTTCTTGAAGGCGCTGCCATGGCCGTTTTATGTGCCCTCTTCGAGCATTGGGGGAAACTCCAGGTCCGAGTTTCCGAATCGGATGACGATGGTGTCTAGGTGTCACTATTCTCCTTCATGAAGGTGTTGTCTTGATTGCTCGCGACATCCTCGGTGCTGGCTTCAGAGTTTTGGTCGTCTAGTTGTTGATTGGATTGCTTCTCCAGTTGGCGAGTTTAGCCGTGTTCTTCGTTGTTTGGGTCAAGCATCTTATGTCTCTTCGCTTCGATCATCATGTTCACGCCCCTTTGCGTCCATGCCATGTGTTTTACAAGCTCATTTACTAATTCTAACCTTTTCTATTAATGTAATGATTGCGTATTGGCGAAAAATAAATAAACGCATCCCCGGTTCCCCACCCGACTCCTTTCTTCTTCAAGAAAAAAGAACTCATTTTCCTCTTGCTTGCGCGTGCTAGCGGTTCCCAAATCCCACCAGCGCCGCCACAAGCCGCCGGTCGCCGGTGGCCGCTCCCCCGGATCCCGCCGTCGCCGCTCCCTCGCTTCCTCCGTAGTGCACGCATCCTCCGCCGGACGCCGCCCCACCTCCCCCGTCGCGCAGAGCATCCAGGCGGGACGCCGACGCCCTCCCTCTTCCTCGACGCCCATCTCCTCGCCACCGCCCTCCTAGGCGCCCCCTCCTCGACAACGACCCGAATCTGCCTCTTCTCCAACGCCGGCCGCCGCGGATCTGCATCTGCCTCGTCGCCGGGCGGTGAGCTCCTCTTCCACTCTCGTGCGTGTGCTAGCTGCTGCCGCTCGAGCTACTGGTGTTGTGCTGCTGCTTGTGTTATGGATTGGTGGTTGTGTTGATGCTAGTGGCTGCTTTTCTCGGAAATTTGTCAATTTTTCAATTGAAGCATGTGTACACAGTGGGGGCATTTTTTCCCCTAATACACAGCGGGCATTTTACTTGTGGAGATAGTGTGCATTGCTCTGTTGTTTGTAGATAGTGCTTAATGGACTTTTTTTTATTTTTGATACACTAGTACATTTTACACATCGCACTAATACAGCGGTCTGGCGCATAGGTGAAGTACGGATGCAAAAGCAGAAATGCATCTGTAGCTGGTTAATATCACAAGTGTTCCCTAAATGGAAGTAGAGATGCAAGTATCAGTACTGATGCGAATGTGATTCAAGTATCAGTACAAGTGTTGGTTGCTATCTCTTATTTTTTGACATGCCTGACTCGTCAAAATACTGCATTGTAGCTGTGAAAGTGTTTGACTTATACTTGCTTGTTCTTTGAGTTTTCTTGCTTACGATGACCCATTATGTGGATGAAACTATTTTCTTTCTCCTCCAGGATGTTCCTCGCCAAATCCAAGGAATCGATGCAGTATCAGGTCATGGAGGGGAGGAAGGGCATGCAAGAGTCAGACACTGCACCTGTTGTTCAAGTACCCAGAGAGCCTGCCATCGTTATCAATGGTGTCCCAGACTTTCCTCCTGATTTCGCATCTGGTTCACAACTTGCAGTAAGAGATGCCCCGCGATCTGGAGTTGATCATCGCTTTGGTGAATGGCTAGTAGAGAGGAAAGTGAGAAAGTGGTTTGGAGACAAGTACTATGCAGGGCAAGTTGTCAGGTATGACAGTGGAAACAATTGGTACACCGTTGTCTATGAAGATGGAGACCAGGAAGATCTTGAGTGGCACGAACTGGAGGAGATCCTGCTACCGTTGGACATAACCATTCCACTCAACACACTTGTGATGGACAAATTCAATCATCAGAATATTGCTCCTGACTACAGAACTAATGTTGCTAGCAATCAGATGGTGGTCAGAGCGGTAAATCGCCAACAGTCAAACAACCTGCCACTACCAGGGTGGCTTCAGGCGTCAGCATCAGCAGGAGAAAATGCTCTAGTATGTCTGAAACCTAGTGATCAACCTAAGAAAAGGGGCAGGCCTCGAAAGGATAGAAGTACATCAGGTGATATTCAACCTGTGCGCAAAACAACAGGTGATATTCAACCTAAAAAAAGAGGCAGACCTCCAAAAGAACCTGGAGAGAAGAGTATTGATAGGCGCAAATTAGAGACTGTCAGGGCAGAAAAACTGAAGAGAGAAAGCATGCTTCTGCGAGGGCCACCACCTGGAAGCCAGTCATTCTAATAATCAATATCACTGTTCCAGTATCTAGTTGATATCTCTAAATATTCCAGTCTATGTATGCTTGCGACACTAGCTTTCAATGTACTTTGTACAACCCAACCCACCGTACTTTTAAATCTATATTTACTATGCGACTGCTGCTGTCATATCAAATTCTTCTCCTAGACAAGTATATCTGCATGCTGTTTAAAATTCTTCTGGTACAGTCTTTAGGAGTTCTCCTTGTGGAAATGGAACCTAGTTGTGTTCGTCTGGCTGAATTCTTTTGAAAGATCCTTGAGTTGTTTCACGAGTGCTGGAGATCCACAATAGATGGAAAACACCTGTAGATTCATGTACATGATAACTATTGCTTGCACTACAGAGTGTTGTTGTGAGTTCTGATGTTTGAATTTGTCCATCACAAGGTGTTCAGCGAATTTATCTCACCTATGCGAGAGTTCTTGTGAGTTCAGAGAACAATTCGCTCCAGTTAGGTCTTGTAAAGTGCATACCAATCTACAAGAGAGGTATCAGCAGATACCTTGCTTCCTGAGACGGTATCAACACCATTTTTTGGCATTTGGAGTGACTGAACCATGGCAATCAGCGCGGTGAATCCCTTGCGTGTGTGCTACTGGTGGAGACGGAGATCTACTCTGTGCGCGCACCTCTCTTCTCTGAATGATGATTCCTTCTCAGCTCTTCCATGCTTACCTGACAGACAGGAAAACAGAACACCATGACATACAGTTTATCTGCAGCTATCTATGCAGTTCCAAATTGCATTGAGTTGCTCTTAACAAGATGATACGATACAACGGCGAAGAACTGATAGAATTAAACTTCAGGAAAAAAAAACTACTTAATGAGCTTGGCTGACATGTGTTCAGAGAAGAACACACACAAAAAATGAAAAAAAAATGATTAAATGGCTTCGCCCGGGTTTGAACCGGAGATTCCTAGTGGGGTTAGCGATCAGGCAATCAGTTTATTCTTCAGGTGAGATAGTGGCTGATGGTCAATTTGTACTATGGAACACCCACGGTGGGGTAGATTCTGAACAGTCTTCTAATTTCAGATCATGATTTGGATTATATCAATTAGTACTTTCTATGTCCAGAGTGTCAAACACAATACATATATATGGCGCATGTACGTTGTAACGTGACAGGAGAGATCTGAGATATGCGTGATAGTTAGCTAGGAGGTAGTTAGCCGGATTCTTATCTGTTGTAACTAGCTAGGTCTATCTCCTCCCTTTCTTCTTCCTCAAGATGTAACTTGGATTCTCTCCAACCGATTGTATGCGCTTCAGGGTTATTGCGCCCCTGCTATATAACACGTAACACGTCCCCTCATACGAGGTAAGACGTTTCTGCCTATCGCACATGGTAATCAGAGCCCTCTCTCTTCCAATCTAAAACCCTACCGATTCCAATCGTGCCTAGCCGTGTCTTCCTCCTCCTCCTCCGGCGCCTTCCAACCTAGCCTCAATGGCCAGGTCACCGAGAAGCTGTCCCGCACGAACTACGTGCTGTGGCGCACGCAGATCACGCCGCAACTGCGTGGCGCCGATGTCTTCGGCCTCGTCGACGGCACCTCGCCGGAACCAGCCAAGCTCCTCTCCACCAAGGACAAGGACGGCAAGGAGACACTCACGCCCAACCCTCTCCACCCTATCTGGGTCAGGGAGGATCAGCAGGTGCTCGGCTACCTGTTGGCCAACCTCTCCAAAGAGGTGCTCATCACGGTGACCACGGTCACCACGGCGCAGGCGCTCTAGACAACGCTGGCGAACATGTACTCGTCTCAGTCCCTAAGCCGCGTCAACAACATCCGCACTTCCCTCATCAACGCACAGAAGGGGCACCAGTCCGTTGCATCCTACTTCGCCACTATGCGCGGACTGGCCGATGAACTGGCGGCGGCCGGCAAGCCAATTCAAGACGATGAACTCATCTCCTACATCCTCAATGGCCTTGATCAGGACTACCAGCCCCTGGTCTCGGCTCTGGACGCCCGCGTCATGCCTGCCTCCCTCGACGAACTCTTCTCCATGCTCAGCAACTTCGATCAGCGCATGGCGCAGTTCCACGGCGGCTCCGGTGGCGGTTTCAAGTCCTCTGCCAACGCCGCGTCTCGTGGGCGTGGTGGTGGCTCTCGTTCGCGTGGCTCCTCTCATGGCAAGGGGAGGTCAGGAGGTGGTGGACACAGCGGCGGCGGCGGGCGATCTGGCAGCAGGGGCGTCGCGGTGGTGGCTCTGGGAGGACTCGCCCGGACACTCCGCACTGTCAGATTTGTGGCAAGGTGGGCCACACAGCCAAAGACTGCTGGTACCGATACGAGGAGGATGGCGATGATTCTCAAGATGAGGACAAAATCGCCGCGGCTGCAGAAGGCTCCTACAGGGTTGACACCAATTGGTATGTCGACAGCAGCGCCAAAAACCATATCACAAGTGAACTTGAAAAAGTCACAATGAAGGAAAAATACCGTGGAAAAGATCAGATCCACACAGCCAGTGGAGAAGGTATGAAAATACGTCACATTGGTCATTCAATATTTAGTACCCCTAAACGTAGCATCCATCTTAAGAGAATTTTGCATGTCCCTAGTGCCAATAAAAACCTCCTTTCCGTTCATAGAATTGCCATGGATAATCATGTGTTTCTCGAATTTCATCCCTATTCTTTCTATCAAGGATCAGGCAACGAAGAAAATCCTCTATCAAGGTAGATGTGTTCGAGGGCTTTACCCGTTGATTCCGGAGCATAGGAGGTTCAATAAACAAGTCTATGGTGTTGTCAAGGTCTCGTCAACACGATGGCACGATCGATTAGGACATGCTTCTTTTTCTTTAGTTGAGAGATTACTTAGGAAGAATAAGCTCCCATTTGTTGGTGAGCGTCATGATGAAACAATTTGTGATTCCTGTCAAAGAGCTAAAAGTCATCAGTTACCTTATCCTATATCCACTAGTGTCTCCACAAAACCATTGCAATTAATTTTTTCCGATGTTTGGGGTCCGGACCCCAGTTCTGTTGGTAGACACATATACTATGTTAGCTTTATTGATGACTATAGCAAATTCTCTTGGATCTATCTTCTCAAGAAACGATCCGAGGTTTTTCAAGTTTTTCAAAACTTTCAAGCTCTTGTTGAACGCAAGTTTGACAGCAAAATCATTGCTGTACAATCTGATTGGGGAGGAGAATACGAGAAACTCAATTCCTTCTTCCAAACTCTCGGTATTTCACATCACGTGTCATGCCCTCACGCTCACCAACAAAATGGCTCGGCCGAACACAAGCACCGCCACATAGTTGAGGTTGGGCTTGCTCTTCTAGCCAGAGCTTCTATGCCTCTCAAATTTTGGGATGAAGCTTTCCTCACGGCTGTTCACATAATCAACATGCTCCCTAGTCGCGTCATCAACAATGAAACTCCTGTTGAAAGGCTTCTCCACACCAAACCAGATTATAAATCCCTTCGCGTTTTTGGGTGCGCATGTTGGCCAAATCTTCGTCCTTATAATAACCGCAAACTCATGTTTCGGTCCACACAATGTGTGTTTCTTGGCTATAGTGCCCAACACAAGGGTGTAAAATGCCTTGAAGTCTCTACTGGCCGTGTCTATATCTCTAGAGATGTGGTTTTTGACGAAACCAAATTTCCCTTTGCTGATCTTCATCCAAATGCCGGCGCACTACTTCAAAAAGAAATTCTCCTTTTGCCACCTCACCTCATTGGTTTTGATCACGGGGGAACATTATTAATGATCCATTGTTGACTAACCTTACTAATGGCGAACATGAAGTGTGTGCTGATGAAACAGGAGGAAACAGCGAAGAAAATGAAGTTGAAAATGGCCCAAACGGTGAAAAAATCGGGCCTTATTTCATGTGTTGCGAATCAGGAGACAGATTCTCCTCGGGATCCATTCCGTGTCAGGAAATCAGATCCTCCCCAGGATCAGCAGCTGCAGGCGAGGGCGCAGCTGCTACAAGATTCCCCTCGGGATCCGCTGCCGCAGGCGAGGGTGCAGCCACTGCGGGCACACGCGCCGGCTTCGAACCCACGGAAGACACGTGGCGTGCAGCCGCTGGCCCGAGCGGTGCGCGTTTCCGTGGCCAGCCCGTGTGCTACAAGCGGCGGCCTCCGACACGCTCCACCGAAGCGGGGCCCAGCATGGGCGCGGGATCCAGCGCAGATATTCCTGCGCACACCACCCAGCCGACCGGCGCGGAACCCCACTCTGATCTGCAATCATCGGCGCATGATGAGCGGCCGAGATCTTCTGCGGCCATCGCAAGGGCTGTCGCGAATGCTGGCCACAGAAGATCAGACTGGCCTCGCGTCCGCTGACTCCGATGCTGATTTGGTCTCGGGATCTCCCGTGCAACATGCTGGATCTTCTACAGCTACAGATTTACCTTCTTCATCTCCGAGACGCACTCGGCTACAAAAAGGTGTGACAAAACCCGTTAATTACAAACACATGACTAAGTATGGCATGATTTGTTCCACAGGAGAACCAGGTGAACCAAATACAGTAGAAGAAGCACTTGGTGATGACAAATGGAGAAAAGCTATGCATGAAGAGTACATGGCTCTAAAGAAAAACAAAACGTGGCACTTGGTTCCTCCACAGCATGGTAAGAATTTAATTGATTGCAAGTGGGTATTCAGAATTAAAAGAAAATCTGATGGAACCATTGATCGTTATAAGGCTAGGCTCGTTGCAAAGGGTTTCAAACAACGGTATGATATAGACTATGAGGACATCTTTAGTCCAGTTGTAAAAGCTGCTACCATCCGTCTTGTTTTATCTATAGCTGTCTCTAGAGGCTGGAGTCTTAGACAGTTAGATGTTCAGAACGCGTTTCTTCATGGTGTTCTGGAAGAGGAAGTGTTCATGAAACAACCACCTGGGTTTGAAAGCAAAAGTGTTCCCTCATATGTGTGCAAACTGGACAAGGCACTATATGGGTTGAAGCAAGCTCCAAGGGCATGGTATT